ACGGGTGGGGTTAACTCTTTCTTCTCTTTCCCCCAGATCTTCCCGCATCTCCTTCCTCCATTGCAGAGGAGGCCAAATCCCACCACGCGGGCGAAGCAAACGAGCGCCGCCAACCTCCTCCGTCAGTCGCCATGGAGACCAGCCCCGGCAGCAAGCAACACGCCCCCATTCCCACGGAGGGCAAAGACAGTGGAGCAGAGGACGACAAGGACAGGATCATGCTGGAGATCGTGCAGATGTACCGGCGGCAGCAACAAAAGCTGAATTCCACCCTTCAGAAACAGCTGCAGCTGGAGATGGTGAGACAGTCAGATTAGACCAATCATCCCTTCCTGAGTCATAGAGGCTCTGTTCCAAACCTTAATGAGCTGTCTGCTGTCTACATAGGCTTCTAAGGAAGCATCATAACTCATAAGTAACCTGTTGGCTTCGTACACCATGCTCACAATTGATTATAATAGCGACTGATGTTAGCATATGGTACCTAACGACACGTTACAAACTTAGATATGATGATCCCCTTGCGACAGACCTCCATCCTTAGAATTACAATTTTAAGTCAGCAATTGTACTTTTGCGCAAAATTTTTTTTTTTGAAAAAGACAATATGTTTTAAAATTAATTGCTTTTTAGTGTTGTAAAAATTTAAATATTTTTTCTTTTTAATTTCTAATAAGTCAACTGTATATTTTCTGCTCTCTAATAGGATAATATTAGATAGAGCAGAAAATATTTCTTACTGTTAAAAAGATTAGTTGAGGCAGCGCTACGGGCGCCCCAAGTTCGAATCCTGACTCGAGGACCTTTCCTGATCCTGCCCTCTATCTCTCTCCCACTTCGCTACCTGTCAGTTCAGTCAGATCTGTTCAATTGTAAACGCGAAAAATGCAAAAAAATGTAGATTTCACATGAAAAATTAAAGGTCATGGTGAAAATTCCAAAGTTTGGAACCCGTTTGCCTTAAATTTATGTGAAATTAAAAATGGCATCTAACCTAAGTTGAAAAGCTGAGTACAACGAATAAATAGCAAACACGTAATCAATGAAATAGTCAATTTTTAATTCAATTTTATCTGTACATTTTATATATATTGTATATGCACACATTTATACATTTCCTGCTGCCGTTTTGGAAGAAAATTGTCATTAAGTTTTTTATATTGCATCTGGGATTGCCTCATCCGTGAAATGATACGTGCGATTCTGCCCTAGATTTTGGCCTAAACGGGGATCTTAAAACGCAGCGTGATTTTGCTGCCTTCTTCTTGGAGCAGCCTTCATGTTGTGTGCATGCCTATGATGTTTAAAAATGCTCCTCTAAATAGGCAGCTCACTAGAGATTGGAATAGAGCCAGGGAGATGGACTAGTTGTTTATCAGAGAAGCTCTTTTGTGCTCCTGAGAAAAGAGAGAGACCTTGTTATAGTGAGAGTAAAGGTGAAGGCCAGAGCAGAAAGGAGTATGTTCCAGTTGAGCTTTATCACCCCCGACTCGTCCACTACAAACCCTCGACCTTTGCCGTACATTGTTTGACGAATGTCTTGATGTGCGTGTGTGTGCAGGAGCTGGAGGCAGTGCGCGGGGGTGAGGCAGCCAGGCTGAGGGAGTTGTCTGTGGAGCAGCTGGAGCTGCAGAACGAGCTGGAGGCGGTGCACACTGAGCATGCTCAGAGACTGGGGGAGGTGCGGCAGGAGCAGAGACAGCTGGAACACCGACTGGAGCAGCTCAGACAGCAGAGCTGCGCCTGCCAACCCAAAGAGCAGGAGGCGCAGTACAACGTGCAGGTACATGTGTGGACCGCAGCAGAGCCAATCTGAGCGTGCCCGAATGACTGTGTGATGCAATGATAAACTATACCCAGTGTGAATTATTCCCGTACCCAATGCAATATGCTGCATGTATCAGCGCAGAACATCTGTGTGTGGGAGGGATTCAGTAACAGGAAGACAGATACACACGCACACTGAGATGGAGAGCCAGTGCCTGACTGATTTGCACACTGGGCCTGATTTCTGCATTTTAACTATCAATTAGGACAATGGTGCTCAAACTTTTTAAACCACATATCCAGTCTAATCAAATCAGACTGTCTAAATACTGGCGATATTAGTGCACATTAAAAAAAAGCAGTGCTGTTTTATCATACTAGATACATTTGAAAGTTCTGTTATAATGCTACTCTGTGCGGTCATCACCGGTCTATTTAAACGCATAACATATTAAAGCGTCTTTGGTGTTTCCATGTTTTTTACAAAACAAAACCGGAAATCGAGGGGTTATGACGTCATTGGCAGGTGACACAATGACACTATGGACACGGTCTGTGTCACTAGTTAAAATTGCTTATTTCTCTGGATTTAAACATTCTTCGAAACATTTGGGATAATGTAAGTACACAAGTCAGCAAAATATATAACACTGTTCTAGTGGTTTTTGGATATTTTAATAATAAAATCTTACATATTGTGCCTTTAATGTTGCTAAATGCAGGGGTAAATGGAGTCAATGACTCTAGAAAAAATATTCGATAATAAAAATTACACATAAACTAATTAAGCGAAAATTAGCAATGTTGCCATGAAATAAAAAAGTACAATGGAATAAATAATAATAATTATAAAAATGATACATATCAAATTATTTAAAGGGATAGTTCACCCAAAAATTAAAATTGTCATTAATTACTCACCCTCATGTCGTTCCAAAACAGTTTGACCTTAGTTCATCTTCAGAACACAAATTAAGATATTTCTGATGAAATCCGAGAGCTCTCAGACCCTCCATAGACAGCAACACAACTGAAATGTTCCCAGGTCCAGAAACGTCGGTAAGATAGTCCATGTGACATCAGGGGTTCAACCATCATTTTACGAAGCTACGAGAATACTTTTTGTGGGCAAAGAAAACAAAAATACGGGTTTGGAACGACATGAGGGTGAGTAATTAATGACAGAATTTTCATTTTTTGGTGAACTAACCCTTTAAATTAAAATGAAAACGGAAAATACAATTCTATATCAATAATACTATAATAACACTGTATCAGACATCAAATCTCTTAAAATATTTTCTAAAAGTAAAGATTTGCAGATGTAAATTCATTAACTGCTCTAATACATTTATAGTTGATGCACTGTGTTTTTCTTTGTTTTCTTAATTGCATTCTAGTTTTTTTTTCTTGTTTTCTTTCTTAAGCCTCTAAGCTCATTGTTCAGTTGAGTGGGTTTGTTAAAATAAGTCTTTGACTGATAAAGGCTCAGGTATGCTTTATTTTCTGTATGTGCTCGGCTATATGCACAGTTCAGCATGCAAGCCTTCCAAAGTATACTCCTTTGCCCATTAGAATGGATAGATGCATTCAGCGTGTGCGCAGTATCCAGTAAACCATTCTTTTCAAGCTCTCAAATCCCTCGCACATGCACTGTTGTCCATGCAGACATGAAATCTTAAAATGGCGCTATAGATTAGCTCTACTGCAGGAATCACTGGTACTCAGATTTCTTTGAATGGAATATTTTGTGCGTTCCTGTTTGTAACCACGCTCTCCTTCTGTCCGCAGCTGTGCGATCTTCGCTGCCGCCTGGAGCGTGCCGAGGCGGAGCGGCAGGAACTGCAGGAGGAGCTCTGCAGAGAGCGGGAGGCCAGAGAAAAGCTGGAGCTCATGATCTCGCAGCTTCAGCAGCAGATGGTCCAGTCTGGCACCAAGGGGAGCCGCAGCACTAGCCCTGCCCAGCCCCCGACCCCTTCCGCAAGCCCCCAATCCCAGCATTCCCTCTCTTCACCGGCCCCTGAGGTAACCACCAGATAAACTCGCCCCCCTCTCTCGCACACTTCCACGCCTGTAGCCCAGGAACACGCTCGCCCACTCCCCGCAGAGTAACAGACAAACACAAGACAAACTCTGCAGAAAAGAGCAGCTCTCCCATAACTGCTTCCGTTTGTGTTGCACCACCACAAAAAAAGACTTAATGTTTGTGTTCAATTTAAAAAGACTTTTCGTGTCACCCTGCCCTCGACCAGTCGTTAAGCATTTTTTGGATGTACATGTCTGTTTTAATTTATAGTCGTGCTGAGAGGCTGATGGGACAGTGGAGGTATTTCTTTGTTGGACTTCTTGCCTCCTGTGGTGTTGGGAAAGCGCTCAAGTGCTTTTCCGGTCCCAGCTCTTTGGATACAGGAAACTGACACTCAGTAAAATACTACCTGTGACACGAAGCCCAAGGATGCCAAACGGCAAGACGCCAATGCCCTGCAGCAGCAAGAAACCATGTGGATGTTTACTTTTTTATTTTAATTTTGTGAATCTTTTTTTTTTTTTTTACAGAAAAAATGGGAGGTTTTTGTTAACGTCACAAAAAATATCAGTAAAAATATTACTCTATAGCATATTTAAGTCATTATACTTAATACAAGCGATTCGGAAACGTAGCCCCCTAACTGAGGCCCCCGATTTAAGATCGTAATCCTCCCCCTCTTCCTCTCCATCTCCCCTCCATTTTCTTTCCCTGCCTGCCGTTTGTCTTTTCAGTCTGGTGTTGATTATATGTTTCCTGTCTGCACTGCTGACCCTTTGCAGGCTGGTATATGACAAACAGCTCAGTTCATTCCTGCATGATGCAGTAAGCAAAGACTCACATTCGCCCCCTGCTGGAGAACACTATGAAACTCGGCCCCCATTTAACTACAGGCAGTTTTACAAAAAAAGCTTCAGGATAGTGCAGTCCACCTCACTCTGAAGTTTATGTTCAGAGCATAAAAGGATTCCTGTAGCTCCAATAAGAACATACTGGTTGTAGACATCCAATCTTTAAACAAAGCACACAGTAGACCTTATATTTGTCCTTTTCTTAGCAAAGGATTCATTAGTAGTGCAATTGACGATGTAAAGCATTGAAGTACGTCACAATCTCCCATAAACCTAAAGCTGATTTCTTTATTCATCTGAGAACTGCTAATAAAGTACCTAGTTTTTGAATGCTGGATTCCAGGTTAAATGATTTGGCTGTCACGTATTGGGTGTTTAGCCTGAATTTTTTTTTTCATATATCCCTCTTATTCATTCCTCCGTGTCATTATTCTGGATGAGTGAACAAACAGGTCTGACAGGGAGAAAAAAACAGACAGGGGGCCAAGGGAGGGATGTAAAGGAATTAATGCTGTCACGTTAGCTCCCAGTCACTGAGGGTTGAAGAGGCACGCTTTGTCTCGGCAGAATGGGGCAGCTGCCTCTGATGCCCACTCATACATCAGCTGTTAGATGGATGAAGAAAGATGGACACAGGAAGTGAAGCGGTTTTGCCACTAGAGCAGTTTGTTCTTTCTTTCTTTTTTCTTTCCTCTGTTCAGATTGGTTGTGTAAACAATATTGGACGTAAATCTAGGCTTCTTTCGTGATGTACATATCTCACATAGAACATTCCACTGTGCACAACTCATCGGATTCACAGTCAGCCAAGCCGCAGCAGTTTTCTAAACCTGATAATGTGTACAGTGCAAAACCTCTTGGACGCAAAAGAGGAAAACGTAAAGAAACACCCTGACTTATGTGAATACATCCAGCCATGAAGAATCAAAAAAACAAAACTATATTGTAAATGAGTGCTTTGCCATTTTTGAACTTTTTTCTTGACTTATTCAGAAATTATTTAACGTATTAACTAATAAAGATTTATATACACTTTGTACATACGGTAGTCATTAATATATTAACTAAATTCTTATAAACAATCTTTCAAGGTTTCTGATCACATTTGCAAAAGCTGGGCGTAGGCCAAGCTCTATTGTTTTTTTTTTTCCTCCTTTTTTTTTGCCTGAAGAGTGGTTGTTGATAACGTGTGTAAGGTGGTGTAGGGATGCATGATGCTCAGAACCCCTACACTTCATCCAACGGGGAACGGGAACAGTGACATATGCTGTCCAGTGCCTCAGCGTTTCCCTTCAGTGGGTCATTTCGTCCATTTCATTGGAGCCCACTGAGATTGACAACCTGTTGTTATTTTGGTGGTGTTCAGCTTTTCCTCTTCCCCATTTTATATATATATATATATATACATACATACATACACACACACACACACACACACACACACATATAAATATATAAAAAAAATTAAGAATTTAAAATTCTTAGAAAGAAGGGAGTGAAATAATGCATGTATTGTTAGCTACTATATTGTTATGCTAAAACACAGATTCATTATTGCTAAAATGCAGAAATGATTTTTTTCTATTCTCTCTCACACATATAACCTTTCCAAAAACGTTACTCCATATTGTCTGAGAAAAATAGTCTTTATGTAAATGGGCACAAAATGTGCTCAAGAGCCTAATATAGATGCTAGAAACATTTGATATGAGAGACTGTGTGTGTACTGAAAAGAGCGATGTTTTTATATATATATATTTTGATATGAGAGACTGTGTGTGTCAGTGACAAATGAGACATGACTTACTGAAAAGAGTGATGGTTTTTTTTGTTTTGTAATACAAATATAAATATACAGTTTTGATTTCATGTGTAGTTCTTTTGAGAGATTGTAGCATTTGTTTTGGCTACAATTTCTGTACAATCAGTATTAGGTTTCTTTTGTTTTCACCACAGTTACCTCTGTAGCAGCCAGTTTAAATGCTGTTTTTGATAGTTTTGGGTATTAAAATGTATTTCTGAAACTTTCTAGAGTATACCTTTTCATTTGTAACGATTCTATGAAACCTGTAAATTGCATTTTGTACACAGGGGGGCGCTGTATATCTTCTATGTAGAATGCCATGTTAAATTTGAATTCTGGGCATAGGAATACAGTACTCTTTAGACTCTTGAAACAACAAACCTGTTTTTGTCTTTTGCAGTGTTAAGAAAATAAATACAGATAAAGTTGTACATATTCGAGACGTGTGAAATATGTTGAATATCTGATATGTATAGGCCTGGTATAATATAATTAGCAAAATTGTACTTTAAAGCAATCTAATGCTAGAGTTTTTCAGCAAAGCTACCATGTATTTTGCATTATAGAGGAAATATCCAATTTAACAGGGGATAATGATTACTGTGGCTCCCTTGAGCTGATTAATGGCAAAAGAGATAAGAAAATTGCAATTATATAAACAATTTTTTTATAATGGTAAAAATACACATAGTATACAAATAACTACCTGCCAGCACAGCATGTGTCCCTATGATCTTAATCACATATTTTCTCATGTGTAACCGAGATGTCACTATTAAAGAAAAGGGGAAAAAAAAAAATCAGATGTGATGCTTTTTTTTTTTTGAGAACACAATCAACACTGTAATAGAAACAATGTCATTGTTTATGACTTTCGTAAACAGCAAAGATATTTTAAGTTGCAATTCTGAGATATGAAATGCAGTGTTTGTGTGTATCATTGCATATGTTGCCAATCCTACAGTGTGATGAGAGGTTTTTTGCTCTTGCATGAAAATGAGACATTGCTCTCCTACCTCATGTTGTGATAAGATATTTTCTAAAGCAGATGACACATCTCAAACTGGTTATCATGATCGATATTTACGAGTTAAATACATGTACATGCTTTTAGCTAATACCTCAGTTGTATCTAGTGTTTTATTGTTTATTTCCCCTATTTCAGACATTGTAAATATCTTGTATAGACAATGAACTTGGATTTAATTCAAGTAAAGTTCTGTAGTGTCAAACCGACTGTGTCATTGTACTTTTTTCATTTTATGCCTGTTTGCTTTGGCAGGTTTTCTTAAAAGTACAGTTCACACAAAAAATGACATTTTGGCATCTCTTTACTCATCCTCATGTTCCCGTATGACTTTCTTCTGTCGAATGCTTTTTCTTTTTCTTTCCATTGTGGTGCAATGTTTCTTCACAAAAACATTTGAAACATTCTTTATCCCTATAAAGCCTACTGTATAATATTTGATGAATTTACATGAATTACATGAATTTGTAAGGCCTCTACATTTTCAACATAATTAAAACTTTGCTGAGAAACCTGTTGTACACAATCTACTACATGCTCTCTGTCATCTGATTGATAGTTAATACTTTTTTAACAAGTATAAGAGGCCTTCAAATAATTATATTTTGCTGTGAAATATCCAATGATTTTTTTTGAAGTAAACAAAAGCATGACTTTTATATTGTTATTAATATTTCAAGACGAACACTTACTGGATTGAAGCAAAACTTTACTTAATCATCCATACTTTTTTTTTTTTATATATATATATATAAAAGTCATGTTAATATGTATCAAATATGATACAAAATGCTTTTTGAGTAATGTTTATTTGTACATTTCAAATATCAAAATATCTCACTGAGACATAGGCCTATTATTGCACTTGCAGATATCAATTGACAACATATTTATATGCATTTTCTGTGAGTAATCTGTTAAACTGATTTACATTACAAGCTGTCTGAATTTCATTTTACTTTTTGGTCACGTAAGTAACAATATGCACCAAATTGCATATTTTTGCTCAGTTTAGTCCTCTGAATAAAACGATGTGTTTGTTCCTCCATGAGTGAGAGCTTCTCACTAGATTATATGGGCCATATTTTTTTTTCAATATTTTCTTTTAATTTGTTCCTAAAGTTTCAATAAGCTATTTATAAAAAAAAAAAAAACGTTTTTTTTAAACTCCATTTAAAAATATATTTGTCTGACTATTATTTAACATCTTTAAAGGGTTAAAGGCACAATATGTAATTTTCGCAGCTAGAGGGCGCGTATTTAAAACAAACAAAGAGACAAAGGCTAGTTTGATGAAGCCGTGACTGAGTGTGGAATCATGGGAGTTGTGGTTTTCTTCCCCACAGCCGATGGAATTCCACGGCACTCTGGCAGAAATCATGTTCATGGATGAGCTAATGATTTATTAACGTAGTAGAATGAAGCAGGGTGGGATATTATAATAAATAAATCTTACATATTGTGCCTTTAAATCGTATTTTGTGTTCCACAGAACAAAGTCATACAACGTTGAAACGACATGGGGTAAATATTGACAGATTTGACATTTTTGGATGATCTTATGTAAATATTCCTAAACTTCAATAGTATCGAGGAGTTAATAAACCGGTTAGACTGCTAGACTAGTTCAAATGTAAATATAGGCTACTTCCTTACTTTTGTGCATCTTCCTTGTAATTTTCATGGGTCCAGTTTATTTGCATACAGACAGAAAACACGTTGAGCTCTACCTTTGAAGCAGAAATCACATAATTCTTATATCAGTAGTCTTCTAAAAGGTGCTGGTCCAATATTCATTTTTCTAGTAAAGAGACGAATCAGTTGAGCAAAAATTATTTGCAATTTCTTTTTATGCAAACAAGAAAGCAAAGAAAAACGCCTTCTCCGAAGTAAACATGGTCAGATATTTAGTGTTTTAACTTGAGTGCGGTCATTGGATTGTTGTCCATAATTCCACTCATCAGCTCCATATGTAAAACAAAAGTACCAGGAACAAAAACCATCTGTAATGGTGTCGATTTTCTTGGAATTCGATGTAATAGAGCGACCGCACAGAGCCAAAGCGACGAAAAAGCTGTTGACGAAACACAACCAGATGACGTTCAGCTGCAGGTGCGCGTGCATCTCTATCTGCAGCAGCGGCGAGATGATCATCAGAACGAGAAACGAGGCCCACGTGCCGAGGAACGTATGCATGGCCCGCCTTAAACAAACCAAGCAGCTTTGTTGAGTGGAATGCAGAAACACCTGCACCCTCCATTTCTCAAACGGAGCATACGAGTAAAGAATGACGCAGGTGACCGTCAGTAACAATGCTACGAGAACCTGAGAGCTCTGAGATCTACTAAACAGCTGGCACTGGTGCTTCTCAACATCTTCTAACAACAGAACAAAATCAGGCTCCCAGAAAACGTACAAAGCTGCTAGAATCCAAAGGAGACACACTCCAGCTATGTAAGTAAGCTTTTGTTTCCAGGATGTGTGTGTTGAGCTTGACGATAGCGTCCAGAAGTTGTCTAGTCCTACAAGGAGGAACACTGGCCAGTGGAGCATGTCGTAGATAAAACAAGCAATCTGAGCCAGCAGGCATATGTGATACCTGGTGAAGTGCCAGCCTGAGATGTTGAAGTCTTCCAGATAGAAAATAGCCGTGAGGCCAAAACTCAAGAGACTGTCAATCAGTGCCAAGGAAATGCAGAAGAATCCTGAGAAGCTCCTGATCATGTAGTGTCGCTGCACCACGACCACCAGCCAGTTCAGCAAACTCTTGAGCCACAGAACCAGCAGAAGCGAAGGGATTGATGTTTCCATGGTACAGCATAATCCAAGGCTGAAATCAGAACAATCAACAGACCAGTCTTTCTTGTAACTGGCCAGCAGTTCCTCATTGAAACAGTTCACATCAGTTGTCAGTAGACACACCCTACTGAGGTGAAGGCCAGCCCTGCACATTAAACGAATAGCCCACTTTCAGTCAGAGTTCTTTATTATTTGTTAAGCATGTATGGGCATTATATAATTGTTTCCATGTATTTAAATGTAGATGTGGTTTCACTTTTTGTTAAGTTCATCTGTACTAATGCTGATTCAACAACACTACTCATTCAGCAACTTACATATTAAAATATTAAAACTGTATATATAGATATAAAAGCTGGAAATAAACACTAGCATAACTAGAGTTACCTGCATACCAGCAGTGCAGTATACTTGCCAGTACTTGCCTTTTCATTCAACAGTTCCTGCCAATAAAAACATGTATTAAGTGTAGTGACATAACAAACAAATTTCATGTATGTATGTACTTATTTGAAAGTCACATTAAAATATTTTGGAAAATCATGTTTAAATTACTATGTCTGTCATTTAATTTAGCTACTTTTAAAACTTTTATTGTTTATTTTATTGCTACTTTTATTGTTTTACTTTTGCTCCAAACCCAGAATTTCAATCTTTAACTATTTTTTTTTTTACATTTATGACTGATGATCTAAGCAAAGAGTGAAATAAATATGAACCATTTCAATATTTATTATGTGAAAATGGCTTATATCCATGAAATGTAGGCTACAAAAATGACAGTTGTTGCACAATATTGCCAAAAATAAATAAAACTACTCTAATGTAGTCATTAATTTTATGCCAAAACTCTTAAAACGTTTACGATTTTCAAGAAAAGCATGCCAAAAATGATCTTGTAATGCATATGCGTCCACTGTTGGACATTTGTTAGCAAACAAACTAGAATTTTTAAAATTGTGTTTAAGGGTTTATTACTAAAAGGCCACATTGTCTCTTTGTAACATCCAGCTATAAGGTTAAAAGAATACAGGTTTGTGCAGAAAGGAACTTGACTTTAAAAGGGTGTGTTTACGGCTAAAGCTATGGATAAATAATTGGCTGTAAAGAAAATTAAACTGGGTGTTGCTAAAACAGAGTGTTTTCCATGTTCAGAAGAGACAGGGACATGTCTGCACAAGCAGGCACATTAAGTTGGCTCCACCCTTCTTTGAGAAAGATGTGGACAAGTATTTTCTAATAGTAAAAACCATTAGATTGCTTAGAGCTTAAAAAGCAGCAAAGACATTGGACATAATTACAGGGTGCACAAGTCTGGTTATGTTCCCTTCCTTATTAAAGGCTCTGTCTCCATCCCTGGCCAAAAAAACTGATGTGCAGGTTCACATTTTAATCTTTCATCATGCAGGGTGTTGTATGGTTGTCCATTGAATCTTAGACAGGTATGAGAAGATCAGAGATTTGACAAGGTCTTTTTAAAAATTCTTTTCACTATTTGACCTGCCAGAGGTGGTAATAAAGCTTTCAACTTTCAGAACTCAAAACAGCTTTTAAAAATGAATGCTTGCGCAGCTTAGTTCCATTTCTTGGATTTAAGCAGCAAAAACATTTAAACACGTGATGGTGAATGTGATTTTACCAAGTAGAGCATCCACTCAAATGATCAGATTTGAGTGACAAGTTTACAGTTAATTTTAAGTTTTGGCTTACAACCAAGGTTTCTTTTCCTCATGGGTACAGTTATGGTTCGGGTTAAGTTTAGGGGTCAGAATATGTTTTTGGACATGAATGTTGTTCCAAGATCAACAAAAGATGTTGATCCAGGATTATGCTGGTTAGCACAGCCCAATTAGCCCTTGCTGGTACTCTAACTAAACCATAAGCACCCAAAACTCATCCTTTTTCCATCAGGCAAAAGTAGCTGTGACTTATTTGCAAACAAAAAACAAATTACATGTTTTACTTTTTATAAACAGCAATTTATATAAAGCAGAGCGCTAGTTTCTTTCAGAAGAACAACGTTTGTAATGTAAGATGTGTAGGCAGACATGAGTAAAAAATGATATATAAAATGAGTATAATAACAGCAGCTGTTTATGCATTGGCTTTATGCATTGTTTGCAAAAGCGGAGTGTTCACATAAAAGTGAAATGACTGAAGTGCAGCTGCTATTGATATTGAACTCTGATGAAAGAATAAATCATAACAAGGGCCAAACCACACCTGTTTATTCATTTCTTATTCATACTGGAAAAGTATTATCAATTTTTTATGTAATTGTCCCAGTTACACACTTGCGTAAATTCATCATGTGACAGAAAATTTAAATAAGACAAACGAATGGCTATTTGTAATGTCTGTTTACTTAAGAAACCTTGTAGTGTATGAAGGTAGAATGACGTCAAAAAGATTTGCATACGCAGGGTAAGAGTTGTGGAAGTGTACATAAGACTGTAAGCGTAAATTACATTTGCATGCGCAAGAGAAGCTTTGTAAAGGTGTAAATCGCGTTTCAAGCGCAAGAAAAAATTATTTGCAGCATTTTACTGTTACTCGTAAGTGTAATTCATGTATTGTGAAACTGCAGCTTCATGCTAACGCAAAAGAAATATGATCTGCATGCTTCTGACTTCCATTTTTCCGCGCTTACACTTTTGGCACGTTTTTTTTCGCCAAAAGACGGTCAAAAGCACTGCAAGCCTGTGAACAGTGATTTGCAAGCGAAAACAACAGTTTAAAGAACTGCAAAACGGATTGACTGCATAGAACCAATCTGTATGTGTACAAAACTAACTGTTGCAAATGTCTAAATGACTTGTGCAAGTGGGGCAAAAAGTTCCCGAAATAATCCGATATGTACAGCTCCGTCTTTCTTTTCTCTGCACTTACAATTTTGGCACTGTTCTCTCACTAACTGAGTTTTGCAAGCGTGAGGGGGAGGGCGGGGCCACCTTCTTCTTGTAGCCAATCAAATGAGCCTCTCGCTGACTCTCCATGTACTCTTATCTGATTGGTCCAATAAACACAGCATACGCCAAGACATTAATCTTAATTTAATTCAGGATCGTTCTTGCTGTCGGAATGGTACTTTTAACATACACATACAGTAAAAAAATAAATAATTACACTCGTAATTACACTTACGAATAACAGAAAATGCTGCAAATAATTTGTTCTTGCGCTTGAAACGCGATTTACACCTTTACAAAGCTTAATTCTCTTGCGCATGCAAATTTAATTCACGCTTACAGTCTTATGTACACTTCCACAACTCTTACCCTGCGTATGCAAATCTTTTTGACGTCATTCTACCGTCATAGTAGTGTACGTTAGATCACAATAGGCCTATGTGAATCGCGGCCATAGTTATCAGTTGTGTACTTAAAATATTATCAACTGATTTTAATATCTATTCGTGATTGATTCCTTGATTATTGTTATTATTATTATTTCAGTTCAGGATGTTCATAAACGGGATTTTCAGCATGTGGAAGAGAGACTTTTATCATGACTTCGAAGAGATCATGTTAATAATAAATAATTTTATATATAAAGAGAGACCTGGATAAATGTATTAAAACCACACAAAAGGCAAAAAAAAAAAAAAAGTAAGGAAAATATTACGAAGGCATACTGCGCAGCAGCACTAGTGTCACGAGCACCCTCGTGATGTCATTGTGGACATCCCATAATACTATTGAGCAAGCCGTAAGCCTCAGTAGCTGGAAATAGTGTTGCTGTCAAGGTAACGCGTTCAAGTGTATTACATTTACCTCTTCAGTTGTGAAAGACTGTGAAGTCCAAAAGGGAAGTTGCGCGTTTTTTTTCCCTGTGATTTGGTAAGCGCTGGTGTAACGTGTTTAGCTAAGTTACCTCCGTGTGGCTAATTTAACGGAAGTTTTGGTCGATGAAAATGTTCTCGCTGATGTTTGAGTAATGTGTCGTGTCGTGTCGCTTAATGTGTTCAAGATTGCTGCTGCTTGTCACTCCAAAATCCTTGTTAGTAGCGTGATAGTTTGCATTTGTAGTAGTATAATAAGTTTCAGACTAACGTTAGCTGCCTTTGCTCATTGTGCAGCACGTCCTGTGGTTTACTGGTTGATCCAGTTGAAGTACGTTAGATCATAACGAAAAACAGTAAATAAATACATAGGCGTTTGACAAATAACATGCACATGGAATTGTTTTTATTACAATCAAGGTTTTAGTTTACAGTTTCACTTTAAGTTAGTGTCTATATTTATGGTATTTATTTTTATTTTCACCTTTTAATAATTTTAAATCACCTTGTTTGTGTTGAATTGTTTTGCAATATGGCAAATATTGAATGTAGCGTTTAGAATCTCACAATTCTGTTAAAAATAGTTGTTCAGTGGAGTTTTGTATGTCTCAATACAGACCATGTTAACTTCCCTAAAGTATTTCATGTCCGCTATTATTAGAGATGCACAGATTGCAATTTTCTTGCCCGATTCCGATTTCCGATTTTTTGGAAGTGTCACCTGCCGATTCCGATTTTCTTTTTAAGAACTATAATTGACATCATATACAAACAAAAATCTATGCAAATTTCAATGCAAAAATTATTTACATAATAAAAGAAATAATTAAACATTACAATTCCCCCAATCTGGACTAAGTTACAGATTTTCTCTCACTTAAAGGGGTCCTATTATGCTTTTTCACTTTTTCAACTTTAGTTAGTCTGTAATGTTGCTGTTTGAGCATAAAAAAGATGTGCAAAGTTACAAAGCTCAAAGTCCTCTTCAAAAGAAGATATTTTATTGAACAGAAATCACTTTTCAAAAACTACAACGGACGACTCGTTTGGACTACAACGCATATTTTCCGGGATTTGTGATATCACAAATATCGACGAATGGGACGAGACCTGGCTGAGCTGCACTAGAGAAGGCAACGAGTGTTATCACTATGTCGGAGACACGCTAGCTTTCCCAAAGCAGACGAACTTAGAGTGGTTACAATCATCCGGGTTTAAATCAAGCTCAAATTGATTTGATTTTGACGCAATATTTACACTGAAGCTTGCAGGCAGCTATGGTAAGGGGCATGATATTTCCCGACCAGGCGCCGAGTGCTGCCAATCACAACACACACTGGCCCAGCTAACCAATCACAGCACACACTGGCCCAGCTAACCAATCACAGCACACACTGTATTTCAGAAGGCGGGCCTTCATTTGATACAGGAACTATTCGAGCCGTTCATGC